GGCCTAGAGCGAAAATGTAGCCCGTTGCGCAATAATTAGTTCGGAACCCAACTTTACCCCATAGCTGTTGTCCATCGAGGAGCCCTGTTAGTCAGATAGTGGTAATCCTCAAGAAGAGCTTGTAAAACAAGCAGTTCGCGTGGTAATTCACCCCATTTTCCTCATCGCCCTTTTTGTGCAGCAGAACAGTTTGCAACTCTTCCCAGCTACGGTGCATTCCTCACTGAGCCTGGCATTTCGAAATGCGCCAAATTATGCCAACGTGAAAATGGTACAACAACTAACAGCCGCCATAAGCTTCTCCATCCCGGAACCCACCATCTGAACCAATACCCGGTGAACAGGAACACCAACCGCACCGACATCCCAAAACACGCTCCAACGCCATCTTCGTGAACACTGGTGACTTTTGCAACTCGAATATGAACCGTTGTAGCAGGCATAGCGGGGAATGCTCCTCGCAAAATACACGCTCAAGAAATTCAATGCGGTATCTCCGGTGATAGTCGGGGGGCGGGGGGAGGGGGACGGGCTGTTGAGGTCAAGAAACCAACAGGCGATGACCGATGTGTAGCCATTCGACAGACTGACCTGGTAGGAATGTTGTTCGCATCAGCAGATGGGCTATCTATCCTTAGAATCGGAATAAAATCCGTTATCTGGAGAAATGTCCATGAATGAAATGCCGGGGCCGCCTGCATGACCACGACTCCTCCTCCCCCCCCTCCTCATATCCCTGGACTCACTTTAATGTACCTGAACCATCGGCCAATTCATGGCGTGTTCCCCACCTCCCCCCTCCGCCCCTCCCGCCTTTTTCTGGATTACGTGTCAAAAGTTCGCCAGGCATTTCCCCTCTGGACTACACATCAACAGTTCATCAAGCATTCCCGTTGGAAGCAGCAGTATGTCAAACAACCTTCCTTCCTGTACTTCTGGATTGCATGTAAGAAGTAGGTTTGGGCGCATCAAAGACGCTTTGCCCGTTATGCCAGATAGATTACATCAAAATTTATTTTCCGACAAACAAAACAGTGCACAAAATTGTACTACATAAACAGAGCGGCTTCTTCATCGATTCATATCCATCGTGAGCGCTTGCACAATCCACGGATCGTTCTTGGAGCCCTGCTTGAACTCCTCGCGCGTCAATTTACCGTCTAGATTCTGAAATCGAGGACGCACATAAATCCAAGAGAAAACAGTTAACATCAGGATATCATCGAGATTGTCACTCAGTGTGATTTCGATATCACTAAGCTACGGGACCAACCATGTCCGACCCTTTTCCGCCTTGAATTTACAAGCTTCCATTGCCTCTACTACGCAAATCATCAAGGAAGCGAATACGTTTATATGCCATCTATTTGAAGGCCATCTGATTAGCCTTTGTCATCCCTGCGAATACTGTCACATTCAGAAGAAGGGAGCTCAAAAAAGATAGGTGCTGGCATTGCAATGAAAAACAACCAC